CTGTTCCTAATAAATGGGGCCCGGGCTGTAGCAGAAGAGAGACGAGGAATGCGCCGTGGATTTTTGCGAGAGGCAGCGAAGGAGTTTCCCATGGGAACGCCAATCTGCAAAGCTGCGTTTTGCCACATCTCCAAAGTAATTATTTCCTTTATTTTTCCCCCTATCAGCTGTCCATCATGGTGAAAAGCTGCCTCAATGATGCTCAGCTTCTCCTATTCTTCCCTGTCCTCACTTTGACATTGATGCTGCTGGGGTAGCACAAGGTGGGAGCAGCAATGAGTGGTCCAGCACCTCAAAATGGGCTGTGGGATGCTCTGGGTTAGAAAGGGATGAAGTCTCTGTACATAACCAGAGCATCCACAATAGGAATAGTCAATATTTAAAATCCTAGAGGGTTTTTAAGCCTAAATCCTGGTGCTTTATGGCTTAGTTTGCCACTTCCCCCACACAAAAGCCACATCCTAGTGCTGGTTGCTGAAAGGTTGCCTACATTTCCCCCCCAAAGCATCTTTGTAATAACTGGGTACCAAAAAGTGGGGGGGGAAAACACCGCTCCGATGCCGCCTGGCACTTTGGGTGTCCTTGCATTTCCCATCCCCTGTTTTAGCTCCGTGTAGCGAACTTGTTCCCACTGCTCTGGTTTGCAAATGTTGTGTAGGTCAAGTTGAAGATTGTTCTTGGCTCCCGTCCCGCGCGTCCCTGCCAAGTATGTGGTTTATTGCATGCAAATGTTAGTCAACAGTTACATTATCCAAAGGCAGCCCTTTTCCTTTTTTTTTTCTCTTTTTTTTTCTTTCTCCTTTTTTTTTAGCTTTAAATAAATGATCTGGCACAAACAAGTGTAAATGTTATGTCAGCGTTAGACACTATTTAATCTTGATGGATATGTTAGCGGCGGAGCGTGACGCTAATTGACAGACATTAAATGATGCTTTCTGTTTCTAGTTGCGTACAAACAGGAGTTCTGCTTCGTTAGGGCTGATTAAAACACCATAGTTAGGGTGGGATTTTTCTTTTCTGTATTAATCAGGGGGATATTTATCACCGGGAAAGCCTGCCGTGTTGTTTCCCCTGGTTGTGATTAATGCTTTAACACTCTCGGATCATTTGGTTATCCAAACGGTGCAGCCCTCTTTTTTTGTCCTCATGCTTTGTGCTTGAAAAAGAAAAGGAAAAACCAACTGGAAGTCTGTCTTATGTCCATAAAGAAACCTCTTGGGGGTTGCAGAGACAAGGAGAAAGGGCAGTGCGGGGCGAGTCGGCCGAGATGGTTCCCCATGGCAGTGGTGCAAAGGAGCTTAGGCTGCTGCCTGCATCCCTGCCTCCAAACAGCCCTGCTGCCTGAATCCTTGCATCCCTGCCTCCATTCAGCCACACTGCCTGCATCCCTGCTTCCAACTGGCCTTGCTGCCTGCATCCCTGCATCCGTCCAGCCCCGCTGCCTGCATCCCTGCATCCATCCACCCCTTCTGCCTGCATCCCTGCCTCCAAACAGCCCCTGCTGCCTGCATCCCTGCTTCCAACGATCCCCTGCTACCTGCATCTTTGCATGCATCCCTGCCTCCATCCAGCCCTTCTGCCTGCGTTCCTGTATCCATCTGGCCCTGCTGCCTGCATCCCTGCCTTCAACCATCCCTGCTTCCAACTGGCCTTGCTGTCTGCATCTCTGCCTCCAACCATCCCTGTCTCAAATTGCCCCTACTGCCTGCATCCCTGCCTCTAACCGTCCCTGCTGCCTGCATCCCTGCATCCATCTGGCCCCACTGCCTGCATCCCTTCCTCCAACCATCACTGCTGCCTGAATCCTTGCATCTCTGCTTCCAGCTGGCCTTGCTGCCCACATCCTTCCATTCCTGCCTCCAAACATCCCTGCCTCAAATTGCCCCTACTGCCTGCATCCCTGCCTCTAACCAGCCTCAAAGCTGGACCCAGAACCTGCTTTGGCAGAAGCACATGGAGCAGAAAACCTGCACTTTACTGTGCCTGTGATGCAGCAGACTTTGGTGTGCAGCAGCATTTTGGTCTGGCTGCTGACCAAGCAGGTGCTGAAGACAGGATTTGTGCTGGGGAAGGAGACCCTGGTTGCAGGGACCACTTCTTGTCTGTGGCAGATGCTCATCCCTGTATGGGAGCTGCTGTTCCCCTCACAAAATCATGGGGTGAAGGTGCAGAGCCAGGCAAGATGCATCTGCCTGAGGATTTGGCCGGTGAAGATCCAGCACCAGCCTCTGAGGGCAATAGAAGCTCCCCTGGGATCTCATTTTGCCAGCTTGATGCCTACTTTGGCTTTTTAAATTTAATTTTAAAGCTACTGGAATACAAAATTAAGCTGGGAGCAATGATGTTTCAGCTGGCTTTCCGTTCATGGCATCAACTCCTGGGATGAATTCTTATGGGTTCTGTGGTGTGGTTGTAGGACTGGAAGGCAGGGGCAGAAATTAAAACTGGGACCAATGCTTGTAGTGCAAAACTCTGGAGGCCACTGGGATTGTGCTTAAATTATGGGATTACAGGCAATTTGGAAGTGATGAAGAAAGTATTTCACTATGTAAGGTCTTATTTTGGGGAAAAAGTCACCTATTTCGTGCTCATTGGGCAGGAAATGGGATTAGAGGATGCTCAGTGGTACCCTGTACCTGGCTGGGCAAGTGATGGAGCAGCATTTGGTGCTGAGTGCCTAGAAATGGTGACAAACGATGATTTACCACACAAAACCTCATGGGTTGGTGCTTGTGACGGCTCACTGCACAAAACCCACTCGATTTTTATGTGAGGAGCCGGCGCTGGCGGGACAACATGGGCATTTTGTGTCAGAAACGGGAAACACGAGAAAATCCCAACCCACAGCGAAGGACCCACGGAGGCAGCTTGGTTTTAATAAAGACTCTGCACTCTTTATTCCAAACGTGCATCGGATAAAATAGTATCAAAAAATATGTACAAAAATAGCAACTATTTGCACTGGGCTCGTGAAGTTGAGCGTGAGCGGTTGGGTGCTGAAGCAATGAGGGTGTTTTACTGCTTGTAAACCATTAGTAGGAGGGGAAAGGAGTAGCTAGGAGACAAATATTTTCCCAAAGAAGCATCCAAGTAGTTTCTATCTCATTTTCCCAGCCTGATGAGCTCCCTCCCAGCACAACGTGCCCATTGCAAAGGACACACCACGATCCCTGGTCGGGGGCAGCTCCAAGCTGCAAATCCAGTGTATTTAGTGCAAATAGAGCATCTCTGCAGTGGTTTCAGCAGCATCCCCAGGCTGTGGAGGAGCCCATGGGATTTTGGCAGGAGTTTCTCCCCCCGGAGATGCCATGGGGAGGGCTGCGTGCCTTGCGGGGACTCGGCTTCGAGGCCATAAAGGCTCTTTGGTGGTTTTTTTTGTGTTGTTCCAAGCGGCAGATAAGCAAAGTGCGAAGCAGATAAGCAGCAGGGCCGGGGTTGAAACATTGAAAAATGTTATCTCCAGATATTAAGGGTTACTTTCAGACAATTAGAAAGCGACTGGGTGTCCTCCAAACGGCTCTGATAGCAAGGGCAGCCGAATTTCTGCTGCAAAGGGCTTCTCTTTGCTCATCCTGCCCTCCCTTCCCTGATTTTTCCCTCTCCCACGCACCCCTGGCAGCTTTGCCCTTGCCATGTGGATCCATTGGCCAGGGAAAATATCCATTTCCAAACACTCTCATTAAAAGGGACGGATCTAAGCAGTTTCTTAATGTTATCTAATTGTCTGCATTTCCCTGCTGTAGGAGGGAATTGGGCCTCTGGGATTTGCTGAAGTCTCTTTTTGGAAAGAACAGGCACCACAGAAACATTTCGGGAGGTTCCCGCATTCTGGAGGCTCACGAACCTCTGTGTACTTTTGTTTTAGATGATTAAATTTGCTAAGAAATACTAGAACTTGCTTAACCAGCTGAGAAAACACAGCTGATGTGTTCCCTCTCATTTATTTCTACACTTTCTCCCATGCACTTAGTGGCATCTAAAGCTTTAGGGATGAGGAGTTATCAAAAAACAACAAATCTTTGCTGCTCTGCTAGTGCAAATAGTTGTCATCCCACTAAAAAATCACTTGTCAAGATATATTTCTCACTGCCCCGATGCCTGAGCACTGGGAATTGGGCAGATTTAACTGGGAAACTGGGAGTTTGCTGCTTCGAAAGCTGCCGGCAGCGTTGAATTTGAGCTGCTGCAATTTTAAATAGCGTACAGGGGAACGTTCACACAGCGTCAGCACCCGGATATGCAAAACCCATCTGTCAGTGCCCTATTGTCAACGTTCCCCGGCCTTTCAGGTTTGGTTTCTCGAGGTTGTTAAGGCACCGTAGCTGTGGAAGGGCACAGGGATGGGTTTTTTGGGGGGGGAGCTGGCACGGCTCCATCCTGGCCCTTGCTCACATCCCGGTAAACCTGGTCCCCTGCCCTCGAGCACTTCGGGTTCTTGTTGCTTTCAGGGCAGAAAAGGGGTTAATTCTCCCCAAAAATGTGTTGCCCCAGGTGGAGGTTGCAGTGCTGCCCGACAGCTCACAGAAATAATTGGGATGGGTCTAATTCCCCTTTAGGACCCTTAGCAATGATGGTATCAATGGCATAAATGCAATTTTTTTGGCTTTTTTCTTATTTAAGTCTGATTTTTAGATCATTTTGATTTTCGTGGTGCCAGCCCAGCATCACCAGTTCTGCTTTTTACCCCCTTGATCTCAGCAAGGGGCAAAGGCTTTGGGGGCGAGAGCTGGACCACTCTTTGCTTTCTGTCCCCAGCAAAGCCTGCAATATTTTATGACTGCAAATCAACCCCAAAGCGGTGCTGAATTACCCACTTTTAGAATTTGAGGCTGCTTTTGGCATTTTCTTTAGGTTTTTTTAAGTGGTAGTGATGAGAGGCTCATGCAGCAGCCAGAAGATGCTGATCATTACTGCGAACGGCATCTCCCTCTCAAAATCAGCGCTAGAAAGAGCGACGCGGTATTAAAGAAAAGGACAAAATTTGAGAGAAAAGGTTGCATTTACCACCAGGAGGGACTCCAGCCGTTCAAGTAGTAGAGGCAAGGCAGGTAATGCCAGCCCCCCCGCAATGCCAGCAGCGATGCCGGGTGGAGCTCGCCCCCTTTCTGCCCCCCAAACCGCATGTCCAGTCCGATTTCGGAGGCGACCTGTTTCCTCTTGGTTTTGTACCTCCTGTTCTGGAACCAGATCTTCACCTGGGTCTCGGTGAGCTGGAGGTTTTTGGCCAGGTGGGCTCGCTCGGGGGCCGAGAGGTATTTCTGGTGGCTGAACTTCCGCTCCAGTTCGATGACTTGGGTGTGGGAGAAAGCTGCCCGCGAGCGCTTCGCCTGCTTTTGGGGGCGCGGGGCGATGGGCAGGGGGCGCAGGGGGGCGTCGCATTCGGACAGGTAGGGCTCTGCCATGGCATCTGGGAAAGAGGTGAGAAATTGCTTGAATCACTTGGGTTTTCCCTTCCAGAGAGCAAAATATTCATATTAAGTTCTATTACGTTTCATATATAATATATGTTTTATATTATATTTCAATTTAATGGAGTGAACGCCATCTTAAAGTGATATAAATGGGTTTTTTTCCTTCCTAAATCACTCTTTCTTAATTCATATAAGCTTGCAACATGCATTCAAGGCAATAAAACAATACAGAAAGGGGTGTTTTGCAATGCTGGTGAAGGGTCTGCCTAAAACCTTTGGGAGCTGTGGTTATTTACATTGTGGCGTGGATAGCTCTGGAGGTTTTCATTGCAGAATTCATACCATTGGGCACATCCTCCCGTGTCTATGGGAATATCCTGATCCTCAGAGGAAACAAGTTGTTGTCCTCAAGCTACGGAGGATGGCTCAGAAACGGGAAACCAGCGCAGCTTAAAGCGGGCTGCGATCTGAAAACACCGAAAATAAATCCCTCCCTTTTCACTTTCACGACTCCAAGGCAATGCCAGGAAATTTTGAGGCAGATTGTTAAACTTTCAGGCCTGGTTTTACATACAGAGCTGCAGACCTGGGCTGGGATCATGGCAGCACCTCAGCGTTTTGCCTCCAGCTCATTTCTTATGGCACCGTTCAGTCACCAGAGCTGCAACCCAAAAAGGTGCTGGGAAGTGCCTATAACTATTAAAACTTCTCATTTATTTATGCAATTAGTTCCTTTTTGTGTTTTACCCAGCTTGGGATGGAAATAAGCCATTTTTTTCTCCTTTTAGTAATTTCTCAGTATATTTTCTTAAGATGTGAACATAATGCTCAAGATAGGAGTAACAGGTTTAATTTGCTGCCTGTGTAAACCGTGGTAGTCCCACTGAAATCCCCGAAGTTGGACTTTCTGGGAGATTTGGTACAGATTTTAATGGGTTTTTTTTTCGTAATAATCAACCTAAGTGGCTATTTCTGAGCTTGCTTTTATGTCGAAGCTTCTTTTAATAGAATTGAGTCGTAAAGCCAAAATTCCCCTGGCAAGAGCCGGTCGCTGGAGAGTTCAAAATTGCTTTTTTGGCTGGTGCAGCTCAGCCTGCGACTGCTGGGGCAGGGCAAGGCTGAGTACCCCCCCCTACCCTGCAGCCCTGGCCGTGCTTGTGCTGCTGCAAATAGACAAAAAAAATTTGCTTTTGAGCATAATTTTGGGTATGTTGCTTCTGCTGTCGAATGCTATTGCCTGCAATGAATTTGGCAGTCGCATGGTGTTGGTAGCGTTAGATTAAGAGGAGCAGGTTTGTTACTCATAAACCACTCGATGTGTGGTGCTGAGCATGGGGTGAAGCTGCAAATGGCACAAATTCGAGGTAAGGACTCTCAAAATACCCCAAAATACACCCAGACTGGTGGCATCATCACTGCACTGATTGCTACGTGAAGGACGGGCACAAGCTGCACCTCTGAGCCCGCAGCCCGTACCCCAGGGTGCCTTTGCTGGGGACCTTCTGTGCTAAAGGGGAACTTTATTTCCCAAGATATCACAAAAATCCATTGACTGTGCTTTTTTAAATAGGGTTTTAAGCAGATTCTTCTTTTTTTTAGTTATTTGAAGCTCCTGGTTTGCACAATATTTATATTTCTCCTACTTTCCCGCTGCTAGAGCACAGCTATTCCCTGGTGTTTACAGCAGGGGTTTTTGGCTCCGGGGGGTCTGTCCCAAACCCAGACATTGTTGTCCCATCTCCATCCAGGCTCTCCCACCCCCTTACCTGCATCTTTCTCCTGGGGCGTCCCTCGGACCGGGGCTGGGGATGCTCTTGGGGGATACGGGCTCCCCGTGGCCGAGCTGCCCTCACTTCCCTCCGCCGTGGCCGCTCCGGGTTCCCCATCTTTCGGGCTGCCAAAATCTCCGCTCTTGCCCCTCTCCGGCCGTACCCCATCCCAGAGGATGTCCTGGATGAGGAAGGATGTCCGGGGCCTGGAGGAAACGGGCATGGGGTGCTGGGCTGCCGGCGGGGTCCCGCTCATTTGGGGTGCTGCTGGGTGCTCGCTGCCTCCTCACCGGGAGCACCCCGGCACTCACCCTCCTCTTCCTCTCGCTGCCTTCCCACCCTCCCGGCTCTCGGCATTTATCCGGCCCCCAGCCAAGCCTCCCGGGCCTGATTGGAGATCCCTGGCAGGAGTCGACGCCCTTCGCTCCGCTCTTGGCTCCCGCGGGGTTTTCCTGCCCGGTCCCGGCCCCTCTTGCTCAGGACACAAGTGGTAGTCCTAAAGTTCTGGCTAAAATGCTGGGTTTAGGGGGGAAAAGTGAAGAAAACAAAAGAATTGGGGTTTAAAAATTGTTGTTGTTATTAACTATTACTATATACTATTACTCTAAATAATTTTGAGGGTTTTCTTCAAAGCCTTCCTTTCGGTTTGTTGAAAACCAGGAGGGAAAAACGTCAAAGGAGTTTTCATCAGCTTTGCAGAGCTGCTTTAAGGAGGGCTTTAAAATGAAAGTTTGAGATACAACAGGCAGGGAGAGCGGCTCCAGAGGGTTCACAGGAAAATTTAAGCCTAAATCTCAGCCTAATTCCTCCACCAGCTGCGGGATGGGACAGCATTTATTTAAGAAGCTTTAATGCCTTCGCACACTACCCTGCAAGGCCCTGTTTTCAGAGGCACTCAAAAAGAGCAAAATCTTCCTTATTTCAAGAAAAACCACGAGCTGAGCTCTCTGTTATGACAGGTTTTTGTCCTCAATATCTACTTTAGTTGTAGTTGCTCTTCTAGAGTTTCTCTTTGGAAAAACAACTCCCTGATCACGACGCAAACAGCCTCGAAACCCTCCCAGATTACAAAAATCACCTTGACCCATCATACAGCAAAGCAATTTGGGGAGGGAGTCTCTTGGGAGCAGGATTTGGGTGCAGATGAGCAGCATCCCTGGGA